ACCTAGACTGTTCCAGGCCTTGCTAACAAGAGATCCTAATAAGGGACAGTTGTGATTCTTGGCAGGAAGGAGTACCCTGAGGAAATGGGCAGTTTAAAGCTTTGCGGAGGCCCCACACTCCAGGAAGCCCATGCTCTCTCTAGCTTGATACCACAGGGCGGTGGTTCTCCCAGGGAAGCGACGAGTCAGCACCCATCCCAGAGAACTTCAGCTTCAGCTCGAGGTGGGACTGAGAGACGGTGTCATTGCTCTGAAATCGGTCCTGTATCACCCAGAGCTGCCCCTGGTCACCTCACAGGACCGGGGGTGGATGGAACATCAGGCTGCCACCGAGCCTTGCTCTTCCCTCCTGGCCTCTCCTCTCAGAGGACTGGAAAACAGCATCCCTTCCAAGGCAAACACGAGCTCACCGGACCTGGTACACAAGCATGGGCATAAGGGAAATAGTGTTTCCTGATTGCGGCCTTCGCTGATTAGGTACCTCCAGATGGTGTGCGTCCTCCGGGAGGAGGCCCAGCCTCGCTGGCTCAGCAGTGACCTTGCACTCAGCTCTGATGGACACTTGAGGGGCGAGCCACCATGAGGAGACGGGCTGCATGTGATGCTGTCCTTATGAATCTCAGACCTAAAACGCAGCCTTCTTTGCCTCAGAGCCTACAGCTGGAGCTCAGCTGGAGTCAGCACGGGCTTCTAAAACCTTCCTAGGGAGCCTTGTGCAATTGCTGAGGCTCAATGTGTGTTCCCATCTTTGCTTCTCTCTCTTGGAAGTGGAAGTGGAAAACCCTGAGCCTTAGGTGCTGAGAAAGGCCAACCCAGGAGAAAAAAGTCATGAAGAGACAGGGAGGCAACAGGGTCTGTGATCTGGGGCGGGGCAGGAGGGGGAGAAAGGGATTATCCATGGCAGCGCGTGTTCTTTTCTGGAGGGCATGAGCTTTCGATTCTCTGGCCAGGGTCTCTGGTTGAGACGCCTGTTGGAGTGACCTTCGCAGCGGTCATCGGGGAAAGACCTGAAGGAGGAAATGACTTTGCTGTTCAAAATTATTTCAAATTCCCCTTTCCACAAAGATGGGTTTTCTCCATGAAAATTAGTTCACTAGTTATTAATAGTCTCTTTTATGATTATTAGGACATACTCGATATAAAAAATTTAGAAAATCCATCGCCCGTAACTGGAAGAATGTGAAGCTTGGAAGTTCTTAATCTGTGTTTTCCCTACAAGGCTAGGAAACTTCTGGAAGGACTCAGTGTTTACAACAGACCATCTGCATGGGGGCTTGCTTCACAGTTGAATTTCTGAAGGGGAAGAAACCTTGTCACCTCTCGTGTGAGTCTCCAGGTGACCGTAGAGGATGGGAACAGACCTCTGTGCAGGCTCAAATCCAGAAATTTAGGCAGGGCAACATGGCTGCGTTGTGGGCATGGGAGGTTAATCTGAGAAACTTCTGGAAGCTCCAGGACTCAGAACCAGATACCTGCATTCATATAGAGGCTTCTGCAGCCTCAACACATGGCCCCTGGCAGTGCCCGTGAGAAAGGAAAGGATCTGGGGCCCTCACTGACCCTCCTCACAGAGGCTGTCAGGTCTGACCCTCAAGTCAGTGCTGCACCAGTGGCAGCTACGTCACCTGTTGATGGCCTGGTCCCCAGTGCCCATGGCCTTGGGGTGCACCAGCCAAATTCAGAAATAAGATTGGAATCCAAGTGCTGCTCCTTGGAACATTAGCCCATAGAATCTGAGGCCATCAAAGATGAAAGTCACCTTAAAGATCAGAAGCCCCGGATTCGTGTTGGGGCCCTGCCCTTGACAAGAGGTCCTTGAGGACCTCTGTTCCCTCCGTGTTACAGTGCAGGCAATGATGTTCTTGCGCAGCTGGGGAGAAGGGGCTGAGGAAGAGAATGGAAGAGGGCTTTGCAGCCCTCGCCACAGTATGGCGGGTGGGGAATCGGTGATCCCTCCTGGTGAGGCTGTTTCTCGCAGGACCAGAGCCCCTTATGTGAATGCTAATCCCTTCCACATCCCTGTCCCTGTGCCATTCTCTCTACCCCAAGGCTGGCTCGGCTCCTCCACAAGAACCAGCTGACATGGAGGCCAGAGAGACCTGCCATTCCCCCAGGTGGCCTCTCTGTTTTTCTGAGCTCATTTGGGGGTAGTAGGAACGCTTCCAACAAGGGCACCCTGGAAAGAATTTTGTATGTAGACACTCATTGGTTCATTTTGAGGCTGTGTCTCTGCTTCAGCAGACACCCTGGGCAGCTTGCAGCTCCAATTTCCTGTCCCTCCTTTGCTTCCTTACAAATCATAATGTGCTGCTCCCAGACCTGGTTCTTCCTGGCTCTTTGTTATAAAATGCCTCTCCATCCTGAGTGAGCGGCGGTACTGGGCATTATGTTCCCTAAGAGCCACCTGGGTTCTGGTCTCCGCCTGGAAGGATGTTCTGTCCTTCTCTCTCTGCCTCTGGCCCTTCTCTCCTGGGCTCGTTCGGTTTGGTGCCAGGTCACTCTTGCATAGGCAGGGAAGATTGGGGGGCCTTCCCTGCTGAGGTTGGTAAAGGGGCCTCAGGGCTGTGGGTGGCCCCTCTGCTCCCAGCTTGTTCCGGGTAGAAACCCTTTGAAAATATCTGAGCCCCCTCTCGCGGTTCCTTGCTCCTCTCCCTCCCCCAGAAGAGGTCAGCGGTGGGGAACTGAGGGCACAGGGAAGCAGCTGGTTTTTCCCAGGAGCTGCAACTGTGTGTCCTGACATTTTCCTGCCCCGGGTTCCAGCCAACATGGAAGGCTGTGTAGCCTGAACCGCACCGACTTCTCCATCATTCCTTATCAGTTGCCTCATCCTTCCTGAGGCCCTGCTGTACTGAGGAAGCAGAAGCAGTGGCCGTTCTGGGGGACCTCACAGACCGACGGGAGGCAGCCTTGACCCCACACCCCACACGCCAGCCCGCGCCGCATTCTCCCTCCCCTGGTGCTCTGGGAAGGGAGGAGACAGAAGCGTGGGGGAAGTACAGAGGACCGGTGGGCTCGATGGCGTATGCGGTGGTCCAGGAGCTCCGCAGGCACCGGCTCTGCCTCTCTGCTGCTGTCTTCCCCTTTCCGCTGGGTCTCCTCCCTGGTGAATGCTTCTGTTCACACCCCTGATGAGTGAACCGGGTGCCTTCTCAGTGAAGTACCCCTTCCCCAGTGCGACGGTCCCTCCTTTACCAGACCGTGGAGGCCCAGGTCTGTTTGGTAGAAGTTTAGCTGGTTGCCACCTGAGGAAATATGGTAAAATGAACAAACAATTGCCAAACTGCATTCCACACCCCCATGAGCCCATCGCTGCGGCCTTCGTGGCTAGGAAGACTCTAGCAGCTCAGTTTGCTTTGGAAGCTTTTTTCTGCCAAGGTTGTTATCACCGAGCAGGCGCCAGAGCTCTGCTGCACTCACAGTCCTATTATGGCAAAACTCAGACAATGAACCTGTGTATTCCACTGGTAAGAATGTCCAGAGGGAATGCTTTTCCCCTGGCCAGGAGCACAGTCTCGGCCCCTTTGTGATATGTGAGACATCAAGGAAGGTTTCTCTATTCCTACACACAGAGAAATGTGTTGGAACTGGAAAATGGATCGCTGTGGCCCGCCCTGGACTGGGTCTCTGGTTTTCTTTCTGCTGCACCGTATGCTCCACAACACAGCTCCTACCCTGTGACTGGTCGGGGGGACTGTCTCTGTGGGAAGCCACAGGGGTGGTGTTTCCAGGCAGGGAGCAGAATCAGTTTGGCCTTGATGGGTTGCCCAACCCATGGACCCTCTAGAAAAGAGGTGAAGCTGGTAAAATTGGGCGGGATGTAGTCTGATGCGGAACCCTCCCCTGCCCCACTCCTGTCCCCTGCCCATGACAAAGGGCCCCTCCATCTTTCCTCCTTCCTCCAAGTCACAGGCCCCTCTGCTGTGACTTCATCCCTGGGGAGGTGGAGCCCGGGACCCTCTCTGCCCCCTCCTGCTGCCCACCCCTTGCAGGACCCACAGGAAGTCAATGTTAAAGAGGTTGGAGAACAGAATGGCCAGCGCTCTAACCACATCACCCACAGGGAGGTTTCTGGACCTGTCTTTCCTTCTCCAAATGGCAGCATTTGGATAGAGGACCTAGAAGGGTCCCCCTGGCTCTAACATCCCGTGAACTGTGGACCTCGATCGGCTTTCTAAATCTGCCTAGGAGGAATTGAAATTGAGGGGACGTTCCCACCACAACAGCCATAATTCTCCCTGGCTCTCCACAGCTGCTTTTCACCCCAACCCCGGGGTGTCCCCGAATTGTTTCAAGCCTCCAGCCCCTGCCCAGCCTTTCAGAAATGCCAGGCTGGGGGTCCTAATGAACGAGGCTTGTTCCAACACAGGAAACGATTTTATTTCAGCCTGACTTTGGTTGCCTGCGTCTTTTCCAGCTCACTATTCAGAATTGCTTACCCCATTTCTCTCTCTCTTCTCCTTTTCAAGATCACAAACAAAGACAAGGGGGTGAAAAGTTCCACCTAGATTCTTGCTATTTAAGAAGTGGACTCTAGAGCCAGATGCCTGGGTTTAGCCCCTGCTTCTGCTGCATACTAGCTGTGTGACTTTGGGCAAGTTACTGAACCACTCTGTGTGTCAGTTTCCTCAGCTGGTGAAGTGACATATCATCTCGTAGGAGTGCGGTGAGGAGTAAATGAGCCGATCTAGTGCATTGCCTGGTACTTCCTAAGTCTATGCAAATGTTCCCGATGACGACAATGATGTCATCTGGGGTAGCAGAGGCTGGAGGGAAGAACATGAGGCTTGGAGTCAGGAGACGGGGGTCCAAGGCCCAGCGCTGCCACTTGCTGGTGGTATGATGCAGATTCTGAAGCTCATTCTGCCTCAGTTTTTGTAACTATAAAACTAGGGGTGAAAATGGTATCCCACCAGGGCGATTGTGAAGACCCAGGGAAATAGGGCTGGCACACTGCTTCACCCCACAAACCAGGCTAAATCTGTTCTCTTTCCCCTTCCCAGGCACACATTCTGGCAGTTCCGCCATGAGAACCCCAAGACCCGGGTTGGGAGCCCTCCGCCCGAGGGGCTCCCTGGCTTCAACAGTGGGGTGATGCTGCTGAACCTGGAGGCCATGCGCCAGTCCCCGCTCTACAGCCGCCTCCTCGAGCCGGCGCAGGTGCAGCAGCTGGCTGACAAGTACCACTTCCGCGGCCACCTCGGGGACCAGGACTTCTTCACCATGATTGGCATGGAACATCCCGAGCTCTTCCATGTGCTGGACTGTACCTGGAACCGGCAGCTTTGCACCTGGTGGAGGGACCACGGCTACAGTGATGTTTTCGAGGCCTACTTCCGGTGTGAGGGCCACGTCAGGATCTACCATGGGAACTGCAACACCCCTATCCCAGAGGTCTAGGTCCGTTCTGGCCGGCCGTGCCCTCGGGCCTCTGGATCTGGGGAAAGGGGAGGGGCGCCTCCGGGATAGGCCCCAGGGCAGCGTCTGAACTCCTAGAGGGACACTGCAGGGATGTCCTTTATGATCAGGTGCTGCAGCTCTCCCACCCTGCAGGTCGCTGTCCTGAGGCTGCAGGGTGACAACTGGCCTGCACATTGCTGGTACTCAGGACCATTTTCCTCCAGGGAACCAGGCATCGTGAAGGGCAAACAGGGAGATATCTTCCCATGGGCCAGGAAGAGAAGCAAGGAAAGAAAATGGTGCCTCTTGCCTTCAGCCCCTAAAGAATGGAAATCATTTTAAGAACCAGCCTTTCTTGGACCAAATATAAATTTATTTTAAATTGACAGGAGAGAAAGAACAAACAGTACTACAGGAGCTCCCAGTGAGCTCTAAATGCGCGAGCCAGGGTTTGAACAAGCAGCCCAGAATTTTAAGCGTCCAAACGAATGCCGACCTTGCACGGGCGCACCCCGGGAGGTCGTGTGCTTCTTCCCTGATGCTCACATTGCCTGGTGTAGGTGTCAAGATCACCACCTCTGGGGAGGGCCTTCAGCACCAACTGTGGCCCATGTAAGAAAACTGGGCTCATTTTTCCAGCTTTTATCTCCCAACTGCATACCAGAACATCATTATCTCTTATTCATCTAAGCCAGCTCCGGGTGACCAGACTGTGCTCAGAAATCAAATCCGCTATCAAAGCACAGAGATTGGCCACCCCCAAGGATGTGCAGTAGAATCGTCTAGACTGGGAGGACTCATTCCAAGGAGGAGCCCAGCAGTGCCCAAGCAAAACCATGTGGCTTGGAAGGGGTGTCACTCTTAGGCTTGTAAGCATTCTAGTCTCTTTGTTTAGAGAAATCATCCTCGTGATTATCTTCTTGTACCATGTCAGACCCTATACCTTAGAAGAAATTAGGGTGTCCTTTCTTTATTTCTTCCTTCAATGCGTTCTCCTATAAGTGAGCTACAGATGTGGAGCCGCTGGTCCATGTTGTAGAGCCCAGCTGAGGTCCTGGGGGAAGAAATGTTGTTGGCCTTTTATCTTATTTTATTTCAATTTCATTGACTCTTTTATTTCTTCTCGCTGTGGGTGAGAATAGCTAATAAATAATCTTTGAGAACACAGTGACTTAGGTTGTTTGTTCTCTGATCACAGTTTTCCGCTCCGCGAAGGTTCTGAGTCAGGAGTGTAATCGGTGTCACTCAGAGTCTTCCTCTCCACGTGATCGAGCTGCGTGTGCTCACAGCGGGTCCCTGAGAACGAAGGGGGAGCACTTCTGAGGGGGTGACGTGGAGGGTAGAAGTGCTGTATTGGGTTCAAAATAGAGGATCATTTCGTTCTAGGTATTGGCAGGACCATCTGCTCCTGGGTGCCAAAACAGCCCCATCACTTCTCATCCAGCTTACCCCAAACCATGCGATGATGTCATCCCCTGACAAAATGGAGCATGTTTCTTCCCTAACTCTCGGCTCTGACAGAACCGCTCTGTTTTCTTAGATACTTGATTTCCTATTTATAGCTACCAATTACTGAATGCCTGCTGTGGGCCAAGCATTGTATTGGAGGATGTATATACACTATTTGATAACCTTACGAAAACTCACGAAGGTAATTCGGATTCTAAAACTTATTGTATAAAAATAATGAGATGTGGACAGAGAGTCACTGTTTATCACAGCATCTTTTTTATAATAGAAAAAAATTACAAGCAACTTAAAATGTTGAATAGGGGAGTGGATACATAATGTATGTAACATTCATATAATGGAAAGGTTTAGGCATCAAAAATCATATTTTTGAAAAATGTTTAATACCTTGAGAAATGCTTACAATGTGCTATTAAGAATGCAAAATACAAGATTATATGTATAATATGATCCTAATTTTATTTTTAAAATTACATATATTTATGTGTATGTGTATATATGTGTGCGTAGATATAAAGAGTGAGAGAGAGAGCCTGTTTTGCTATATTTTATTGGTTAATCTCCTAAAACACCATGTGTTTCAAACATCACATTAAAAAACCCAATTATTTCAATGGGGAAAAAGGTGAATGGAACGCTAGAGAATTTTAGACTCACACTAGGACAGGTATTTTTCCTGCAATAATTTCAGGAACTAAAGTGTTTCTATAGCCATGAGTGTCTTTTGTTATTGCAAGGAAAAAACAATGAACTAGTTGATCAAAATGGTCAAAAGCCAGATAAAAATCTCCTCATTTACTTTTGGGATCACCTGATCAGGAGCTTCCCCGTCCTCTGTCACCAGTGGCCTTGACCTTGAACTCCATGTGTGAACCTAACACTCAACAGGATATCCAGCCGGACCAACAAAGCCGCCTCAGTGTGTTCCTGCGCTTTACCACGAGCAGCTTTTTGACCAATCTTGGCAGGCTGGTTCCTGATTGGAATCCTGTTATAACCAATGCAATGCAAACATAATTAATTATGCTGTGTTTCATTTGCCTTCTGAAAACTTTCACTGTGGGGCATATGCTCTTACCCTGTATGTGTGAGTAGAACAGAAGTCAGAAAAGAGAACCATTTCTGGGTGCTAGGATTAAGGTGCTTTTTATCTTTATCTGTGTTTATTTCTATATTTTCCATAGTGAATATTAATTATTTTCATAATAAAGATAAACAATAAATGCTGTAAAATTTTAGCCACCTGCCTTCCCCCCAAATACAGGTAAGCATCATACTGGCCCTGCCACAGCTCACGGTTGGCCATGTTACCATCAGCGACGAGAAAACTTAATCTCGGCTAGGTAGGCTCTGGGTTTTCAACTTTCCCTATGGATGCCCTAGTTCTCTAAATAAAAGTGACCTAATAATAACATCTCTAGGCCCTGTTTCATTTCCGATACCATCATCTTTCGTGAGTACGTAAATGATAATGGCCTTTAGAAAGCTCTTGGGCTTGTTGAAGAGATTTATTCTTGTATGTGTGTCAAACCACATACCAGACCAGCTATGGCAATCCCCTTTGACGGCATCTCATCAAGCGAGAGTGGCATCCTGGTTCAGAGGGCCCCACCTAGAACACACCAGGAGCTGTGAATGAGGGGCAAGTGCAGCCCAGCCTCTGCTCATTCTGAGACCTCCTGGCTGCTCTTGGCGTGGGAGGCCCTGAGGTTGGGCTGGATGTGGAGACTGGCCCAGCCAGCAGAGACTTCCGAGCAAGCAGGGTGGTGTGGTAGACAGAACCTCACACCCGTGTCAGAGGCCTGGCTTTGAATCCACGTTCTGCCATCACTACCAGGGCCATCTTGGACAAGCAAGGTCACCTCTTTCCCCATTTCTAGACACGGGTAATAAAAGCTCCCTCAAAGCAGTTTTGTAGGAAGAAAAGAGATGTGTAAGGGGTTGGTAAATAATATATATGTGCAAGGGAATCTTATAGTTACTACATAAACATTCTAAAGAGTAAAAGACAGCCATTTGGGGTACATTAAATGCGGCATCGCCCTCAGCCCAGTGGATGACCAGAAGCTTGCTGGTAGGCTATCTGATTTTCGTTAGCCACACCACTCTGCAGAGGCCCATGTGTGTCCAGGAGGTTGGGTGTCCTTGGATAAACCCTTTCCATCTCTGGGCTCAGTTTCTTCACCTGTAAAAACAAGGGGGTCCGGGGATTGGACCAGATCTCCCAGCAGCCTCCCCGCCCCGGGCTCTGTTGGAGTAACAGATGTTGTGCGCATCCCTCGGGGTTCACAGGGGCACGTGGCCGGGAGTCCAAATCACAGGCAGAACCTCCAGACCTCAATGCATTGTCCACCACTTGGAATTGACGACCATTCAAACAAACTCATTCAAAACATACTGTTAGCACACTTTTTCCTCCCAATCTGAACAGGCACAGTGAGCAATGCAGACAGCCACGGGGATATTTAAAATCCGGAGAATTGACCGCCTTCATGAGCCCCAGCCCCTTGCTCCTGGTCCACTGATTTTAGCTATGGCAGCTACAATCTTGTCTTCGCTCTCGGCCGATGGGACCGGCTCCCAAAGAGCCTCCAGGCAGAGCCGCTGTATAGATGGACCTACGTCCCCATTGGTCTCACCTTGGGGAGTACTGAGTCTCCAGCCCCCAGCCAGGGAGGCCCGGTGGAGCTGCCCAGCAGGACACGTTGAGTGGACTGGCCAGCCTTTCCTGGAGGTACTTGCAAAGACCAAAAATGCTGGTAGAGTGAAGCCTTCTTTAACTGGGGCTGGCTCACCTCCCAGAGTGCCTCCATGTGTTCCCCATTCTGAGGCAGACGTGTCCACCCCATGCAGACTCTGCGGCCTCACTGAGCACCACGCATCCTCAGAGCCTCAGTGCTGGAGGAGCCTTTTCACACCTCGGAGGCCAGCTGCCCTCCTCTCCAGCCCCCCTTCCCTAAGCAGTAGGATTTGCTCCAGTCCTTCCCTGAGCCCCACTCCCTGTGGCACAGGCCTGAGCAGGACCACGAGAGCCTGGAGCCTGGGCGTGGTTTCTGGCCCTGGTGTGGAGCCAGCAGCTTGACTTCTCCCCAACAGGGCCTGGCAGACAGCAGGGACCTGGGTGTGTCTGGAAAAAGCGAGATGCTCCCACTGAACCCTCTTCCTCCTCCTATGCTCTGGGCAGCCTCCAGGGCATGCAGAGAGAGCCTCAGGCTCAGCTCGAGGGTCTCCACCCTTGCCCAAAACGCACTCCATCACTAGGGCCTGTGGGTCCTGACTCCCTGTGACTCCCTTCTCTCTGGTCAGGCCCTCCTCCCTTTTTGTGGGCTCCTCACTGCTTTATAGTGGGCCCTGCCTCTGGTCTCATTCTCTCCAGCACATGCCTTGCTAAAGGCCTTTGATGACTCCCTGCCATCCCCAGGATGAAGTCCCAGCTCCTGACAGTGGCATCCAAGACTCACCACCTTCTCCCAACTTCCTCTGTGCGGGAGGCTGCGCCCCTGGTGTCACTAGCAAAGCAGAGAGCGCTCCCAGCTGGGCGGTCCCTGCTCACCCCTCCCTCCCCACAGCCCTGCGCCTTGTTAAAGCTACTCCTTCTCCCAGAGCTTGCTCTCCTACCTTCAAGGGCCCTTCCCAGCTCTCTGGGAGGCCTTCCCTCACCCCCAGCTGCAGTAAGCTGGCCATTCCCACTCCTGCCTTCCTTACAGGAGGGGAAGCTTTCTCCCTGATACATACTCACTTGCACATTGGCCTCACCATCGGTGCTGGCTTGTGAGCTCCTTGAGGGCAGAGACCGTGGAGACATCATCTCTGCATGGCCCCCAGCACTCACTCAAGCCCAGCACAGAGCTGGGGCCACGGGGCAAGAGGAGTGGTGTTCCCTGGGGCTTGGGCTGGTCTGCTGTTCAGTGACAGATGTGGTTGAAGTCAGAAGGTCCCAACACTTCCCTCCCACTTTTCCGTCCACGTCCCTCTCACCATTTTTAACCTCAGGCATAGAGGGTTGAGTTCCTGGCACTCCTCAATGCTGGACCCATTCCCCCAACTGCTCCCTGGAAGGCCCCTTCTTGTTTTGTTCACTTATTCCCGTTTGTTGCCATACCCGACTCCCATTGCCCTAACAGACAATCATTCTAATCTGCTCGCTGAGTATCTTACTGTGTTCCTGCAAATGGTATTACTGTTCTCTGTACACGTGTTTTAATTGAGGTAACTCTTGGTAAATTCTCATGCTCTTTCTTTTTCCTTCAGCACTATGTTTAAGACCCATCCCCATTATGTGCACACCCACCCGCTGCCTGCTCCTCCATGGTGTGCTCCTTCCTCAGTTTACCCGCCCTTGCCCACACTGATGGATGTCCATATAATCTCCCACCACCTACTCACTCCACCTCACATAAATGACCCTGTTGTGAATGTTCTTGTCCTTGTTCCTTATGGACCTGCTCAGAATTTCTTCGTGTTCTAGATCCAGGAATAAAACTGCTGGATCATAAGGTTTGCAGACACTTAAATTTCTGACAAGTGGTGCTGATAGCTCCCCAGGGGGTCGCCCCCTCCCCACTCTCACTGTCAAGAGCCCTCACTTTCTCTGCATGATGGTGCTCATGTTCACGTGCCTGTGCATCGACACACGCGTGCACCTGTGAGCATATTGGAGTTCTCCAGAATGTGTGGCTGCTCTGCGTGAGTGGTGGTACACTGACCTTGGCCAGCGGGGCGCCCCTCTGTAAACTGCGGGGAGTTCGCCGGGCTCCTGGCCTTGCTGGCCTCCCACGATGGCTGTGGGTGGTAGGTGAGACAACCCATAAGAAAATACTTTCGAGGCCCCAGACATACGCTCACTCCCTCACACCCCAGCCTGTCCCCAGGGCCACAGGCGGCTCTGTCAGAAGCTCTGCGCTCAGCCTGAGTCCCGCCCGAGGGCATGTCCTACCATCTAGTCCCACATCCAAGCTGCCCCATGGGTAGAACCCGGAGTCCCCCGATTATGGCATCCTGCCCTCTCTCCGGAGGGCCTCCTCTCCCACACCCCAGGCAACCGGGAAGCTCCAGCCCTGTAACCCTCATCCAGCCAGGCCGGGCAATTTCCAAAGCACAGAATGCCTTTACACGGGGCCAGATCCGGGGCTGGGAGTTCCCGCTGGGTGTGTGTAGAATTTCCATGCTTGCAGGGCATGCTGTCAGAGTCGTAGGTAATCCTCTTCTGCTCAAGCAACAGTCTGAGCCAGAAAGTGGCAGAAATGTCGATAATCTTCCCAGGCTAAGTGAACACATGCTCTGAAAAATGCTAAGTCCTTGTTCATCAAGGGCAGGCAGCATCGTGGTAAATTTGAGTCCATCTCATCCTGTCCCACCTTTCAGGAAAACTAACCTTATCTCTACCCAGGAGGCCATGACAGCCCTCCCCTGCAGGCATCCCTTTTGGGTGCCTCTGTGGCCTCTCCCCTCCAGCCTGCCTTCCCTGGCCCAGCC